TAATCTTTATCCAATAAGATATGAGATATTTATAATCCAATAAAATATTATGACGAAAGGTCATTATACAACAATATATAATTATTCTATTAATATATATTTAAATTTAATAAAGCAAAATTATAAATAAAACTTAATTTTTATATTTATAACAAAACAAAATACAAAACAAAAAAATAAATATAATAAAATTATTTGCAATTATCATAATACTTTCAATTATAATTTAATAATCAATAAAGTTTTAATTAGATCAACAAAACAAAAAAATTGATATAAGAATATAAAAGATAAAAAATAAAAAAATAGATATTTAAATATATCTTGATATACTAACTAAAAATATTAGGAAAATAATTTTATATATAGCTTTTATTTTTCTTTGTTTTTTTAATATTAATTAATATTATAATAAAATTTTCTGATATTATTATATAATTATTTCTATTAGGTTAGTAATTATAAAATATTAATTATAATATATAATTTGTATTTTAAATAATCATCCTAATAAAATTATAAATATAAATTTTTTTTAATAAAATTTTTTTAATTATATTAATAAATATTTTTATTTTTATATTAAAATAAAAATAATATTATATATTTAATATATATTTTTTTCAAATTTTTTAAATTTAATCTAATTAAATTATAATTAAAACATATAAAAAAATAATTGATTTTATATGTAATTAGAATAACTTGATCTAAAAAATCTGAAAAAAATATATTAAAATATGTAATATTATCTTCATTTTAATATAAAATAAAAAATATTTATTAGCAAATTGAAAACTTTTATATAAAGAGAAAAACTCATATTTTGCTATATTTAATTAATAAATTTTAACACTGTTATATTATTTTTGATTGCTATTATATATTTTTTAGTTTATAATTTTTAGTATAATTTCAATAAATTTTTCCAAAAGAATTTTTGAATTTTGAAAATTTTTTTATAAAAATTAAAGATTATATTTTCAGTTTTTATTATAATTAAATTTGTAATTTTATATTATAATATTATAATATTATTTATAAATCTTATAATTTAAAATTGAATTTAAAATAATTATAATTAATTTATTTTGATTATTAAATAAATTAAATATTTATAATAAATATTTATTTATAATTTTTTATAAAATAAAATTCTAAAATTATTATATTTATATTTATTAAATTATTCAATATTAATACAGATAAATATGACTACTAATTTTTAAATTTAAGTTTAATAAATTAAAATAAATAAATTTAGTTTATGTAATAAATTAATAATTAAAAATACAAAAGTTCAAAATTAAGAAATAATTTTAAATTAATTATTAAAATGGTTAGATTAATAAATACTTATTATTTAGAATAATTCACATAGTAAGTTTGTTGATTTTTATAATTTGAAAAATTTAATCTAAATTTAATTTTTTTTTGTTAACTTTGATCAATAAAATACTATATATACTTATAATCAAAATTTATATTATTTTTGTTAAATTACTATTGATATAAAAAAATTTACTATATAAATCTTAAATTCTATATGAGCCAGCTATAAGTAATTAAAATTTTATGTCATATAAAATATATTTAAATGAACGACTAGCTATTAGTCATGATAATTTCATCAAGAACTTAAATATAAAAATCAACCAATAATGGCTTGTTATTATTTTTTGCATGATAATCGATTTATTTGATTAGATAGCATCAGGAAATTTTAAAAACGGAGTGGCAAAATACTTACCCATCGACGTTCTTTCATCACCGATTATTATCGATAACAATCATTTATTACTGATAATAAAAAAAACGTAATATCCCGACACTTAACGAGCGATCTACCATTATTCGACTAGATCAATTGAATGATGGTTAGATCGCTCGGATCACCGAACGTCGCGATCATCGATTAATAATCACCCAACGAATTAAAATTTTCGCGATTTATTTACATATGACAGACCAAATCATTCAAGTCCAATGATTTGTATTCTAATGGTTTATGTTCCGAACATGTAGTACATGTATATATTCATATATCGACTATTCAATAAATATATTCAGCTTTTACGTGTTATTAATGCAACAGAACAAATAAAGTGTTGAAAGAATGTGTGAAGCAAAAATCTCGCATCCTAAATGTACACCTTCTATAAATGTACTCTCTGGATATGCCCCAAGCTATGGGTCCTAGCATTTGAATCTATTCTTTAAATGCACTCCATTTAGAGAGGGTGTGCATTTATAGAGGTTTTACTGTAGCAAATTTTGAGTTTTGTGAATTGGATACTAGAGTCTTCCTTAGTAAGTATATAAGTTTAATTGGTAATTTTTTTCAAAAAATCGAGTTTATCGATGATTGTACACTATCTAAAGTTGATCGATTGATATTTACACAGTGAATCTCGGAACTGCGTTAATTATAATTCATAATAAGCCTTAACTGAATATCTTGATAAAGTTTTCTTCTTTTGTTGCCTCCGGATTAACGAGATTCAAACAAAAACATTGGTTTAAAGCCTGTAAACCTTAATGAGGCGAAACCATTAACAATACTGGTTTAAAGCTTGTAAGTTCAAAAGCAAATTTCCCATACCATATATCTATTATATACGTACCAACATTTATTATGGTACAACAAAGAACAAGTACAGAAAGATTGAATTTGATAGATTCTCTACATTCTCACGTATGCAAACGGTAATTCATACCTCCGATCATTTATCTCCGAAATCGCGATACGTATATACATGTACTTGCTACTGTTTGCTTATGTGAGATTTTCTTTCATACATGAGAATTTGATGTATGCATAGCGGTCTCCATAAGATTAAAATCGAAATAATGTCACAAGATACAGTCAACTCTCTCTAAATGCACACCGCCAAGAGACATATGAAAATCAAACCTGAGAGTGTATTTATAGAGAGCATTTTACTTATTAACTTGGGACCGAACCAAGTGTGCATTTACAGAATAGAAACATAGTGTGTGCATTTAGAGAGAGTTGACTGTGTAGCGAACTTTAAACTTAAATTTATTACGAATTCGTCATGTAAAATATAGTTCAAGAATTTTTTTATTAATAGAACTGTCAGTTCGTTATATGCAGTGTTGTTGACTGCACATGTTATGTATTAGGTAAATTGTTAGATTTTGATTGGACAGTTTTGTTCTATAGTGATGAAAGTTTTTTTGTGCTACGTATTAAAAAGTTTAGTTTCACGTGATCCACAAAAAATCAAAGATTGGATGATTGCACCAAAAAAGACACCATTTGACGTATTCCCCATAAATTTACATTTAGAGATGCTTTTATAGATGTATAAAAAATAAGTAAGAATGGCAATAGTACCAAAGATTTTCAATTAATTACTACATGTATATCCTTTACACGATAATCATGTAGTATATTTGTTATTTGTTTCATATTAAAAAATCAGAATCTGATAACACAAAAACGTGGCCAATCTCGTTGATTTGATTTGTTTGGATTCAATTTTTTACTACGTATCATGCGAAAATTATAACTTCTATAGTGGCACACACAAAATTTCTTTATTCCCAATTCGGGTAGCTTAGTTAAATTTTTTTTTATATAACTCGCGTAAAAAATCCCATTTTTTCTGTTTTTCTACTCCTCTCTCTAGTGGAGTATACAATTATTTCTTGTTTTCTCATCGCAAACAAATATTTAATTGGCCAACAAATGCGCCACCTATGTTTTAATATATATACACATATATACGCACACATATATAACGATAAATAATTTCTTAAATATGGTTGAACAAGGATATTTAATAGGAACTCAATTAGAACACGTGAAAGAACTTGTAAGTTTTCTACTGCATTGTTTATTTTTAAACTAAGAAATGATTGGTTTGAAAAATAAGAGAAACTAAATCCTGGTTATTTTACTATTCACAATTAAAATCGAAAGTCGCATAGAATTCGACTTACACATAAACGACCAACATTTGTAGTTCTTGGAACTGGTAAACAGATTAACGACTGGTTACATAATAATCGTTATGTTATAGTTGAATTTGTGTTGGGTTCAAACGATAAGCAAGTTTTTGCTGCTGCTACTACTGCCAGCACTTTATTCAGTAATGGAAAAATACATAATCTATCGACAAAACGCAGTAGACCAGACGTAAGTTTAAAACACCTTCAACAAGAAAACTCATTATTAGAATCATATAAAGATACATTTCCTTCAGAAACGGGATCGGAAAGAAACATGGCTCGCTCTAGTATTATCAACAATCAACACACATCGAATACCACTAATATATTATTTGAACTTTATGGCAAAGAATCCGAGTCGAAACGTGCTTTTTCATTATTTATTAAACCGAAATACCGTCTAGCAATTTGTGCTGAAATTAATGATAGCCCAAGAGAAAATTCAGAAAAACTAATAGTAACGTGTCAATACCAAAATGGTATTGAAATTAAAGACGTGATAGAAGAATTGAGAGATGCCTTACCTGAAAAACACGAAAAAACTCGTAATATTAAGCTAAATAATCTTGATTATGATCGAATGTAATTTTAATTATTGTAATTTTTTACACATATTAGACTTAATATCGTCATTTTTCTCTGTAATCCCCACTGTTGTTTTTGTTAAATTATTTATATTTTTGATCCATAATAAAATCTAAGAATTAAAATATGACTTTGTAAATTAAAAGCGGGTTTGTACCCAAGCAATTAGATAATCATGCTTTGATCATTTTGGAAATAAAAAAATAAAGATTGCAATCCATTAATACACGTGAAAAAAAAGAATTTAGAACCAAATATAGTGCGTGTGAATGCATATTTTTTTTTGAAATAAACAATATTGATATGCCTTTTCTTAAATCCGTCCGTCCGTGTGAAAACAAATAAACCCTGTTTTATGTGCTTATGTTATAAAAGTACGTGTAACAAGTATTACGGTTTGTAGTACACGCCTTCCAAAAGTACCCCCTATTCTATTACATGTAAAACTAAATTACATCTGTGTAACCCTCATGTAAATACTTTCGATCACGGATATATTATATGTATTGTATGCCATTTATCACCTGATTTCTTTCAAGCTTTCCTTGGGAAGTGTTAAAGCAAGGGAAGCCGTTTAGCCGGTTTTGTTGCATATCAGCCATATTTGATCGGCAGCACATGTTTTGAAAAATTTGCCAATCAAAATTAAACACATACATACGAGACATATGTGTTCTTTGGTAAGTAAAAATAAATCGCCATTTGCTCTTCTCTCCTTAGATCTACCTCCTTTTCATTACCTTCCGTTCTTTCCCCTCACATTATTTCCGTCTTCTATGCGTTTTAACACAAAATTATATTATTCTTCGATTTTATTGCTAAGAACAAAACTACGTCAATAATAACGTTTTTTTCATTATCTAGATTTTTAGGTGTCTAGCTATATTTTAGGCTCTTGCTCATGTCGAGCCTTTGTGAGCGTTTTTTTAATGTTAATAAAGCGATTAAACTTACTCCCGAAGAATTTGACAAAGAATGGACGTTTGTCGACGATATATGGACTCGAATTAATGGAACCGAGTAGAGTATGCCGGCTCTCAAAACCCCAACAATCAAGTAGACGCAAAGTTGGCGTTCCCCCGAGAAACTTCGTGCGACTTGCAAGCGATCTCCAATCGAGTGTGAAACCAAGATTAAGTAACTTGGTGTGCAGAAAAGGTTCGGATCTCGCCTAAATAACCAAGCAGGCGATTTTCTATGTTTTTTAATCGTTTTCTGTAATTGTGTAAAGCTAAACGATAGAGGCGTACAGAAGTTATTGCTCGGGACCAAAGAAATTGGAGTAACAAATAAAACCCTAAACAATTCGCCGGAAACGCAAATTCTTTCCCTCTACAACCTCTCCCCCAAACCGTCATATTGAATGACAACTGTACTAATGAATACTATACGCTCTCCCAAATGCCATAAACCAGACGATGGTTTTAGATCATGAATATCATGTGAAAAATCATATGGTGACGAGCAGATGTGGCGTGTTATAGCTAATACGGCTAAACGGCTTGCCTTGCTTTGTGGGGGGATGGGGTGATTGTGGCTAAACAACCAGCCACAGTAACTGCAACACGGCACATGATAATAATTAAAGGTCAATTTAGGATTAATATTTATGTGAAATTTCCTCTCGACATTTTTGCTCAGTGTTCCAGGTTAGATTTAGGCATCTGTTTTCTGTATTTTCGCAATTTTTTGTATTTTCATTCTGGGATATACACATTGGTTTGTTACTGCGAGTGGGTATAGATTATGCTGATGAATTTAATAGTTATATTTTAAAATTTTTCTTTATTATCAGTTAATAGCATTTAACGTAGCGTAGTAAAAAAAATTATTCGACTAGTGTGTCATTTCTGAAGATTTTGCGATAGCTAAAACAATAGCTCTGTCGAATTTGATGTTAACTCGATTCGATAAATTCGGATCGGTTCGGGTTCGAGTTGAGTTTGCTCCGAAAATCGTGAAATAGGTTTTCGTCAATAACTTTTATTTTTACTAAGACACTTGTATTTGTGTCTTAGCTACAAAATTTTTTGTTCAATTTGAATTAATATTGAACGAGAAATAACGATTTTTAGTCTGATTCGAAATATTTCGGATCACTAACCTGAAGTGTGCGATTCGGGTTGGATCACGGATTTGATCCGATCCAATTGGAGCACTAAATATAAGGGGAGTGACAAATATTAGCTAATATCCATTTTGTTATAGAAACCCCTCCTCTTCTGAGATTTTATTTAA